TGGTAGATAAGATGTCAGATTTGAAGTATGTTTTTGCTAATGAGTGAGATGTGGAGGTTGAAAGAAAGAGTCAAATATCATTCCAGGGTTTCTAATTTGAGTAACTAAGTGGCAATGCCATTGAATGAAACAGAGAACCTGTAAGAGGACCAAGTTTTAGGAGAAAAGTAAGGCTTTCTTTTAGGATATGTCAAGTTTGAAATGCTTACAAGACATTCAAGCAGAGAGCTAAGAAACCCAAATTTGATAATGCGAGTCTGGAGACAAGTGAGGGTTGACAATATAAATTTGCACGTCATCAGCATTTAGATGGTTTTAAAACTACCCAACTGGGTGAGATCACCTCAGGAATGAGGATGTACAGAAAAGAGGCCTGAGGATAGGGCCTTGAGCCAACATTTAGTTTGTGAAGATGAGCAGGATTCAACACATGAAACTGAAAATGTATGGCCAGTGAGTTGGTAAGAAAATTAGAAAAGTCTTCCATACCAAATTAAAAGTGTGATTAAAAAAGGGAGGAAGGAATGATTATTTTATCAACTGCTACACAGAGCTAACTAAGTAAGAGTCAATGCCCAGTGTATGTCACTATTGGTCTTAGCAACTTGAAGTTCATCAGTGATGAGTATTTTTAGTTGATTGGTGGGGACAAATGCCTAGTTGAAGTGGGTTCCAAAGAAAATGGGATATGAGGAAATGGAGACAAGAAGCCTAGACAAATTTTACACTTTTACAAGTTAACCACTTAAGTGATAAGGATACATTGATTGAAGCCTTGCCTTACCTTCCTACACTAGGGACTATGCCAGTTGTTGTTGTTGTTAGGTGCCGTCGAGTCATCTCTGACTCATAGTGACCCTATGTACAACAGTCCTGTGCCAGGCTCACAATCCTTGCTATATCTGAGCCCATCATTGTAGCCACTGTGTCAATCCATCTCATTGAGGGTCTTCCCCTTTTTTGCTGACCCTCCACTTTACTAAGCATGATATCCGTCTCCAGGGAATGGTCCTTTCTGACAGTATGACTAAAGTAGGTGAGACAAAGTCTGACCATTCTCACTTCCAAGGAACATTCCGGCTGCACTTCTTCCAGGACAGATTTGTTAGACCTTTTGGCTGTCCATGGTACTTTCCATGCCAGGCATTTTCATAAATAAAATCTCATTTAACATTTAAACAACTCTGGTTAGTAGATATTTATCTCTATTTAAAAAATGAAAAATTATATTCAGAAGGGTTACATTAACTTGCCCTCTGTTATAATAGCAAGTTGTAAGTATTTGAGTCCAGATCTATCTAGTTCTAAAGCTATTTTCGGTTGCTTTTTTATTGAAGAAACTCACTTCTTAGAAATCATGAAGAGCAACTGCCATCTCCTTCAAGGAGTATTAGCCTAGTATTAGCTACAGGATATTTCATTCAGGTTCCTTTTCATTAGTGTTGTGATTATTAAAATTTAGAAAGCTAATTTTGCTATCAACTATTTCATTCACTATACTTTCTAAGCAAATCAATGCAGCACGAATGCATAGAGAGACTAGGAAGAGAATGTGAATAAAGAAAGAGTCAGGATCATGGCAAAATTGAAAATGCATGCCCAGTCTAAAAAAAACTACTACTGGACTCTAACAAGTTATGCTGCCAGATAATTTTATTTTTTAAGACAAACAAGAAATCTACATTTTTCATGAGGAATTATCAGATTTTTTTTTGTTACTGACAATTCAAAAAGTTTACAAACATCAGTAAGCCAATCGTACATCACAAGTCTCATGTAGCCTTCAATTAGCCACCAGTTTGTGGTCTTTTGTTTTGTTGTTGTTGTTTGCCATCGAGTCACCCTGACTCATAGCGACCCCTCCCTGGGTTTCCGAGGCAGTATCACTACGGAAGTAGGATTGCCCAACCTTCCTTCCGAGGAGTGGCTGGTGGTTTGTGGTCTTTACAAGTGTTAAATATCTTCTCTTACTAAGAGCTTTTCTTTAGAAAGTGCTATCAAACTAATAATCTGCTTGTCTTTGTAAGACATACTACAATGACAAAAAACACCTGGGATTGAGTAATAATAAGTAAATGAAAAACCACATTTTTATAGTTTCTCAAAAATGGTCACTGGTACAGCTAGCTACTACAAGAATTACAAAGATGAAAGGGACACAGTGCCCACTCTAAAGAAACTTAGATGTACTTGGAGATAGGCAAGTAATAACCCTATATAAAAGCAAATTAGGTATGTGCCATTAGAGAAAAGAAAATTCTACTGTCTAGTAGAAAGATATGTCACTATCACACAATTGATAATTTTGGAAATGTACGTTGTAAAAAAAATAATAAATCCAAAAATTATTCCAAACATTCACAAAGGAAAGAAAATGTAAAGTAGAACTAAACTATATAAATAGGATAATAACATTTAATACCTTTGAAATGAATTACAAATCTGATACAGAAGGTGGTACGCATTTTACAAAGAAAAAAGAAACTCATAGTGAACACACCCAGGCCGTATCCTTCATATTGCTGTCGCTCACGCTCCACTGTCTCCTTGATAACTGTCTCCCGGGAACAGTGTCGCCTTCCCTGTCTGTTTTTGATGCTGTTATGTAATTCAATCTGCTCCAACTCACTGCTGAATCGATCTAAATAACTGAAAAATGAGAAAATGATGCTACTTACAAAGTCTGTACTTTTAGGTTATATTACTTTATTTAAAACTCATTTCCCAGCCTTCACCTGTCCTTTAAATTTTTACATCTCTCTGGGTTGCTCACGTCCTCCAATCTCTTTACTCCTTCACTAGACAACTCAATCTTTTCCAAAATTTCAGTGACCAAATCACTACCTGCTACCAAAGCATCTGTTCCAGACCCTGATATTCTACAATCCACTGGCCATCTCCATTTGGATATTCCCTAAAAGTTTCACTTTTACCAGTCCCTTGCTTCCCCTTCTCCCTTACTAGCCTGTTTTGTCTCTTGGGCTCCCTATCTCAGGAAATGATATGATAACTCACCTAGCTACCCAAATGAGAAATGTCAGTGTCATCCTTGACTCCTCCCTGTCCCTTTTATCTCACATCTAGTTTTTCACTAAAATTGAAACTCCCACCTTTGTGTTATCTCTAAAAACAATGTATTTTTCTTCACTCTACTGTATGAACCAAGCAAAGGCCACCAACATTTCTTGCCTGGGTTGCTACATCAGCCTTTCTATAGTCTCCTAGACAAAGGCATGCTCCCCTCAGTACATTTTCCTCTCTCTCACTACTGTGACCCATCTAATATGGTCATCTTAGGTGCTTGCAGTAAAAGCTTCCCATAGCTCCCAAAGACTTTCAGAATAAAGTCTAAATTCCTAGCCTGATATCTGACGTCTGTCATGAGGTGGCTGTCACTTGTACCTGCCACATTCCCTTCCTGGAACTTATTTTGGTCATAGTAAATGTCTGGTGGATCACTAAATATGTCCTCCTGATTCTTACCTCTAGGTCTTTAGACAGTGTTCCCTGCATACAGAGGCTCTTCAACATGTCTTACCTCCATCTAGTACTCCCGATCCTTCATGTGTCCATTTAGATGACACTTCTTCTAAGATGTCTTTCCTGACCCATAAAACTGGGTAGTTACCACTCTGAGGCCCAGAAAAGTTACAAACCTAAAGTATTTGAGGCAGGATTTAAACAATTTAAAGTCTCTCTGATAACAAAACCCATTTGCTCCTTCATAAATGCAGAACGGGATTCCATCTCTTAAAGAATCAAGTTGGAGAATCCCGCCCCCCCCAACCCTTTGATTATAACAAACCCACTGTTTACCTTTCAATTAATCCACAAGCATCTTTCTTTGAATATTCTACTTTTTTGGGATCAAGATGATTTTGAAACCACTGCAGTTTTTCACCTATGAACAAGTACCAAGACAGTATAACATCACGAATCATCATTTAAGCAGAGGCATTCATTGTATTTGTCAACATTAATGTGTTTAAAAGAGGACCAAAATTTATCTCAACGTTAAATACAAAGACCGTGTGAATTCAAGATAATGAAACTAATCTATCAGAAATTAAGTTGTCACATTTTAATTTAGGGAAGAGAGAAGGGTAAGAGAGATGCTCTCCTGTATATATATTCCTTACCTAATTGTTGGTGTTAGGTGTTGTCAAGTCATCTCGGATTTATGGCAACCTTATGCAGAACACAACGAAACACTGCCCAGTCTTATGACAGCTTCACAATCTCCAATATACCCACGCTCATCGTTGCAGCCACTGTGTCAATCCATCTCACTGAGAGCCTTCCTCTTTTTTGTTGATTTTCCACTTTACCAAGCATGATATCCTTCTCCAGGGAATGGTCCCTTTTGACAACATGACCAAAGCACATGAGACGAAATCTGGCCATTCTCATTTCCAAGGAACATTCCTGCTGCACTTTCTCCAGGACAGATTTGTTAGTTCTTTTAGCAGTCCATGGTACCTTCAGCATTCTTCACCAACACCACAATTCAAAAATATCAATGCTTCTTCAGTCTTCCTTATTCATTGTCCAGCTCTCACATGCATATGAGGCAATTGAAAATACCATGGCCTGGGTGAGGCGCACCTTAGTCTTAAAGGAGACATCTTTGCTCTTCAGCACTTGAAAGAGGGCTTTTGCAGCAGATTTGCCCAGTGCAATATGTAGTCTGATGTCTGGACTGCTGCTTCCACTGGTGCTGACTGTAGAATGAAGTAATATGAAGTCTATGACAACTTCAACCTTTTCTCCATTTATCGTGATGCTGCTTATTGATCCAGTTGTGAGAACTTTTGTTTTTTTTTATTGAGGTGTAATCCATATTACAGGAGCTCTGGTAGTGTAGTGCCTAAGGCACTTGACTCCTAACCAGAAGGCTGATGGTTCAAACCCACCAGCCACTCCTCTGAAGAAAGGTTGGGCAATCTACTTCCATAGTGATATCACCTCAGAAACACAAGGGGGGTGGTGCTATGAGTCAGGTCCAACTCAACACCACATAACAACAACAACAATCCATATTACAGGCTGTTGTCTTCAATCTTCACCAGTAAGTGCTTCAAGTCATCCTCACTTTCAGCAAGCAAAGTTGTGTCATCTGCATATCACAGGTTGTTAATAAGTCTTCCTCCAATCCTGATGTCACATTCTTCTTCATATAGTCCAGCTTCTCGGATTATTTGCTCAGCATACAGAATGGATAAGTACGGTGGAAGGATACAACCCTGACTCACTCCCTTCCTGACTTTAAACCACGAAGCCTGCCCTTGTGTTCAAACGACAGCCTCTTGATGTATGTACAAGTTCCTCATGAATACAATCAAGTGTTCTGGAATTCCCATTCTTCTCGATATTATCCATAATTTGTTATGATCCACACAATCAAATGCTTTAGCGTAGTCAATAAAACAAAAGTAGACATCCTTCTGGTATTCTTTGCTTTCAGCCAAGATCCATCTGAAATCAGCAATTATATTCCTTATTCCACTTCTTCTGAATCCAGCTTGCATTTCTGGAAGCTCTCTGTCAATATACTGCTACAACCATTTTTGAATTATCTTCAATAAGATTTTACTTGCATGTGATATTAATGATATTGTTCAATAATTTCCACATTCTGTGGGATCACTTTTCTTTGGAATGGGTACAAATATGGATCTCTTCCAGTCAGTTGGCAGGTATCTGTCTCTTGGGATAGCCAAGTGAGTACTTCCAGTGTAGCATTGGTGTGTTGAGACATCTCAGTGGGTATTTCATCAATTCCTGCAGCCATATTTTTCACCAATTCCTTCAATGCAGCTTCAACTTCCTCCCTCAGTACCACTTGTTCTTGATCATAAGCCACCTCCTGAAATGGATGAACACTGACCAATTTTTTTTAGTACAGTGATTCTGTGTGTTCCCTCCATCTTCTTTTGATGTTTCCTGCATCATTCAATATTTTTTAACCATACAGTCTTTCAATACTGCAACTCAAGGCTTAAATTTTTTCCTTAATTCTTTCAGCTTGAGAACTGCCAAGTGTGGTCTTCTCTTTTAGTTTTCTAACTCCAGGTTTTTGCATATTTCATTATAATAACTGACTTTGTCTTCTCAAGTTGCTTTTTGAAATCTTCTGTTCAACTCTTTTATCTTGTCATTTCTTCCATTTGCTTTACCTACTCTATTCTATGTTCAAGGGAAAGTTTTAGAGTCTCTTCTGACATTCATTTTGGTCTTTTCTTCCTTTCCCGTCTTTTTAATGACCTCTTGCTTTCTTCATGGATTATGTTCTTGATGTCATCCACAATTCCCCTGGTTTTCAGTCTTTGGTGTTCAGGGCATCAAATCTATTCTTTAGATGGTCTCTAATTTCAGGAGTGATATAATCAAGGTCATATTTTGGCTCTCATGGACTTGTTTTAATTGTCGTCACATTCAACTTGAACTTGCATACGAGTAGTTGATGCTCTGTTGCACAGTCAGCTCTTGACTTTGTTTTGGCTGAAGATATTTAGCTCCTCCATTGCCTCTTTCCACAAATGTAGTGAATCTGATTCCTGTGTACTCCATCTGGTGAAGTCCACATGTATAACTTCCATTTGTGTTGTTGAAAAATGGTACTTCCGATGAATAAGTCATTATATGCAATATGGATATAAAAATAAATAAACAACAAGCAACAGAGCATGAAGTCCTATGTATTTAAAAAGCAAAAGACAGAATGTGTCTAAAATAATTAGACATTAAAAGCGTATGGAAACTTGATTAGATTAAGAGTGAAAATGATATTTATTGATATCATTTACCCAGTAAACAAAGAGAAAGTAGCCTGCCCAAAGCCACAAAGTTAGTAAATATATTAAGCTTACAAGAGCTACCAGATATTATGTAAAAAGTGACTAGGATATATTACCAACCAGCTTAAAAGCCTTATCTTTATAAGTAAGTCAGACCATTGGGACCATTTCTAGTTAGATTTCTCATATGGCAGACCAAGAAATGGTCCTACTCAGCATCCTGATACCCCACATTAAAATACTACTCTATCGCTTGACAAAGCAATACATACGGGGTTTCAAACAACTTTAATTTTAATTATAGTGTCTATGACTATTTCAAAATCTTAGCCTTGTCAGTAAAGATTTACTAACAATAAATTTGACCCAAAAAAAAAAGACTAGCACTGAGATTTGTATGTGTACATCACTAAATATGTCCATCATGTTAAACATCCTTATATTTAGAGAGCTAGATATTAAACATATTTACATACACACACACACACACA